GGACCGGGGGTTAATGAATGTCACCCAGGGGGGCAATGGGAGGACCCCAGAGAGGACTGGGAGGAGTCTGGGTGGCACTGGGAGGACTCTGGGGTGTCCTGAATGACCCTGGGATGATCCTGGATGACCCTGGGATGACTCCGGGTTATCCTGGATAACTCTGGGTGGCCCTGGGATGACCCTGTGAGGACTCTGGGTGACCCTGGGATGACTCTCAGTGACCCTGGGATGACCCTGGGTAGCACTGGGTGGCCCTGGGATGACTCTGGGTTGTCCTGGATGACCCTGGGAGGACTCTGGGTGGCCCTGGGAGGACTCTGGGTGGCACTGGGATGATCCTGGATGACCCTGGGATGACTTTGGGTGGCCCTGGGAGGACTCTGGGTGGCACTGGGATGAGCCTGGGTAGCACTGGGTGACCCTGGGATGATCCTGGATGACCCTGGGATGACTCTCAGTGGCCCTGGGATGACCCTGGGTAGCACTGGGTGACCCTGGGTGGCACTGGGATTACTCTGGGTGATCCTGGGATGATCCTGGATGACCCTGGGATGACTCCGGGTGGTCCTGGGAGGACTCTGGGTGGCACTGGGAGGACTCTGGGTGGCACTGGGAGGACTCTGGGTGGCACTGGGTGGCTCTGGGATGACCCTGGGAGGACTCTGGATGACCCTGGGAGGATTTTGAGGTCCCCAACCCCCCCTCCCTCCGGGGTTCTCACCGATCTTCATCTTCTTGAGGGTGGGGTCGGGGGGGGGTTACAAGGTCACCCTGGGTGACCCTGGATGACCCTGGGATGACTCTGGATGACCCTGGGATGACCCTGGGAGGATTTTGAGGTCCCCAACCCCCCTCCTCCGGGGTTCTCACCGATCTTCATCTTCTTGAGGGTGGGGTCGGGGGGGGGGGTTACAAGGTCACCCTGGGTGACCCTGGGATGACACTGGATGATCCTGGGTGGCCCTGGGAGGACCCTGGGTGTATCTTGGTGGCCCTGGGAGGACTCTGGGTGACCCTGGGTAGCACTGGGATGACTCTCAGTGGCCCTGGGATGACCCTGGGTGGATCTTGGTGGCCCTGGGAGGACTCTGGGTGACCCTGGGTAGCACTGGAATGACTCTCAGTGGCCCTGGGATGACCCTGGGTGGCACTGGGTGACCCTGGGTGACACTGGGTGGCCCTGGGATGACCCTGGGAGGACTCTGGGTGGCACTGGGATGACCCTGGGAGGACTCTGGGTGGCACTGGGATTACTCTGGGTGATCCTGAGATGATCCTGGATGACCCTGGGATGACTCTGGATGACCCTGGGAAGACTCTGGGTGGCACTGGGTGACCCTGGGATGATCCTGGATGACCCTGGGTAGCACTGGGAGGACTCTGGGTGACTCTGGGATGACCCTTGGTGGCCCTGGGATGATCCTGGATGACCCTGGGAGGACTCTGAGTGGCACTGGGTGACCCTGGGTGGCACTGGGATTACTCTGGGTGATCCTGGGATGATCCTGGATGACCCTGGGATGACTCCGGGTGGTCCTGGGAGGAGTCTGGGTGGCACTGGGAGGACTCTGGGTGGCACTGGGATTACTCTGGGTGGCCCTGGGATGATCCTGGATGACCCTGGGTGACCCTGGATGACCCTGGGAGGACTCTGGGTTGTCCTGGATGACCCTGGGATGATCCTGGATGACCCTGGGGGGATTTTGAGGTCCCCAACCCCCCCTCCCTCCGGGGTTCTCACCGATCTTCATCTTCTTGAGGGTGGGGTCAGGGGGGAGTTACAAGGTCACCCTGGGTGACCCTGGGTGACCCTGAATGACCCTGGGATGACTCTGGGTTGTCCTGGATGACCCTAGGATGACCCTGGGAGGATTTTGAGGTCCCCAACGCCCCCTCCCTCCGGGGTTCTCACCGATCTTCATCTTCTTGAGGATGGGGTCGGGGGGGGGGTTACAAGGTCACTCTGGGTGACCCTGGATGACCCTGGATGACCCTGAATGACCCTGGGAGGACTCTGGGTTGTCCTGGATGACCCTGGGAGAACTCTGGGTGGCCCTGGGAGGACTCTGGGTGACCCTAGGATGACCCTGGGTGGATTTTGAGGTCCCCAACCCCCCCTCCCTCCGGGGTTCTCACCGATCTTCATCTTCTTGAGGGTGGGGTCGGGGGGGAGTTACAAGGTCACTCTGGGTGACCCTGGATGACCCTGGATGACCCTGAATGACCCTGGATGACCCTGGGATGACTCCGGGTTGTCCTGGATGACCCTGGGATGGCTCTGGGTTGTCCTCGATGACCCTGGGAGGACTCTGGGTGGCACTGGGATTACTCTGGGTGATCCTGGGATGATCCTGGATGACCCTGGGAGGACTCTGGGTTGTCCTGGATGACCCTGGGTGGCCCTGGGATGATCCTGGATCACCCTGTGAGGACTCTGGGTGGCCCGGGGAGGACTCTGGGTGACCCTGGGTGACCCTGGATGACCCTGGGAGGACTCTGGGTGACCCTGGGACGACTCTGGGTGACCCTGGGTGGCACTGGATGACCCTGGAAGGACCCTGGGTGGCACTGGGTGACTCTGGGTGACCCTGGGATGATCCTGGATGACCCTGGGATGACTCTGGGTGGCCCTGGGATGACCCTGGGAGGACCCTGGGTGGCACTGGGTGACTCTGGGTGACCCTGGGATGATCCTGGATGACCCTGCGATGACTCTGGGTTGTCCTCGATGACCCTGGGTTGTCCTGGATGACCCTGGGATGACTCTGGGTGGCACTGGGAGGACCCTGGGTGGCTCTTGGTGACCCTGGGATGACTCTCAGTGGCCCTGGGATGACCCTGGGTAGCACTGGGTGACCCTGGGTGGCACTGGGTAGCACTGGGATTACTCTGGGTGACCCTGGGATGATCCTGGATGACCCTGGGATGACCCTGGGAGGACTCTGGATGACCCTGTGAGGACTCTGGATGACCCTGGGAGGATTTTGAGGTCCCCAACCCCCCCTCCCTCCGGGGTTCTCACCAATCTTCATCTTCTTGAGGGTGGGGTCGGGGGGGAGTTACAAGGTCACCCTGGGTGACCCTGGATGACTCTGGGTGACCCTGGGATGACCCTGGGTGGATTTTGAGGTCCCCAAGCCCCCCTCCCTGCGGGGTTCTCACCGATCTTCATCTTCTTGAGGGTGGGGTCGGGGGGGGGTTACAAGGTCACCCTGGATGACCCTGGATGACCCTGAATGACCCTGGGTAGATTTTGAGGTCCCCAACCCCCCCTCCCTCCGGGGTTCTCACCGATCTTCATCTTCTTGAGGGTGGGGTCGGGCTCGTCGCGGGGCCTCTTGCGGGCGTCGCGGGGGCAGGGGGTGCAGCGGGCGATGTCGGCCTGGGGGGTGCCCAGGTCCACCAGCAGGGTGGTGATCTGGGGCTGGAAATCCCCCGAGCAGGGGTGGCGGAGCACGCTCAGCAGGTGCAGCTTCAGGTTCTTCCTCACGCTGCTCACCTGGGACTTGGCCAGTGTGGGGGGCAGGTTGGCTGTGGGGGAGATGGGATTTGGGATGGGATTTGGGACACTCAGGGATGAGGGATGTGGGATATGGGGGGTTTGGGATGTGGGACACCCAGGCTGCAGCTTCAGGTTCTTCCTCACGCTGCTCACCTGCGACTTGGCCAGCGTGGGGGGCAGGTTGGCTGTGGGGGAGATGGGAGATCAGGGATTTGGGATGGGATTTGGGGGTTTGGGATGTGAGGGATGTGGGATTTGGGATATGGGGGAGCACGCTCAGCAGGTGCAGCTTCAGGTTCTTCCTCACGCTGCTCACCTGGGACTTGGCCAGCGTGGGGGGCAGGTTGGCTGTGGGGGAGATGGGATTTGGGATGTGGGATGGGATTTGGGACACTCAGGGATGTGGGATTTGGGGGGTTTGGGGGATATGAGGTGGCGGAGCACGCTCAGCAGGTGCAGCTTCAGGTTCTTCCTCACGCTGCTCACCTGGGACTTGGCCAGCGTGGGGGGCAGGTTGGCTGTGGGGGAGATGGGAGATGGGATTTGGGACACTCAGGGATGTGGGATGTGGGATATGGGGGGTTTGGGATGTGGGGGATATGGGGTAGGGGAGCACGCTCAGCAGGTGCAGCTTCAGGTTCTTCCTCACGCTGCTCACCTGGGACTTGGCCAGCGTGGGGGGTAGGTTGGCTGTGGGGGAGATGGGAGATGGGATTTGGGATGTGGGATGGGATTTGGGGGGTTTGGGATGTGGGATTTGGGATTTGGGATAGGGGGGAGCACGCTGAGCAGGTGCAGCTTCAGGTTCTTCCTCACGCTGCTCACCTGCGACTTGGCCAGCGTGGGGGGCAGGTTGGCTGTGGGGGAGATGGGAGATTGGATTTGGGATGTGGGATGGGATTTGGGACACTCAGGGATGTGGGATGTGGGATTTAGGGGGTTTGGGATGTGGGATGTGGGGGATACGAGGTGGGGGAGCACGCTCAGCAGGTGCAGCTTCAGGTTCTTCCTCACGCTGCTCACCTGGGACTTGGCCAGCGTGGGGGGCAGGTTGGCTGTGGGGGAGATGGGATTTGGGACACTCAGGGATGTGGGATGTGGGATATGGGGGGTTTGGGATGAGGGATATGGGATATGGGGGATTTGGGATGAGGGATATGGGATATGGGGGATTTGGGATGAGGGATATGGGATGTGGGACACTCAGGGATGGGGGATATTGGATGTCCAGGGACATGGGGACATGGGACACTTGGGGATGTGGGATATGGGGGGTTTGGGATGTGGGATATGGGATGGGATGTGGGATATGGGATGTGGGACATTCAGGGATGGGGGATATGGGATGTGGGGGGTTTGGGATGAGGGATATGAGATATAGGGGGATTTGGGATGTGGACATGGGATGTGGAGACACTAGGATGGGGGATATTGGATGTCCAGGGACATGGGGACATGGGACACTTGGGGATGTGGGATATGGGGGGTTTGGGATGTGGGATATGGGATGGGATGTGGGATATGGGATGTGGGACATTCAGGGATGGGGGATATGGGATGTGGGACATTCAGGGATGGGGGATATGGGATGTGGGGGGTTTGGGATGGGGGATATGGGATGTGGGGGGTTTGGGATGTGGGACATGGGATGTGGGACACTCAGGGATGGGGGATATGGGATGTCCAGGGCCATGGGGATATGGGACACTTGGGGATGTGGGATATGGGGGATTTGGGATGAGGGATATGGGATATGGGGGGTTTGGGATGTGGGATATGGGATGGGATGTGGGATATGGGATGTGGGACACTCAGGGATGGGGGATATGGGATGTCCAGGGCCATGGGGATATGGGACACTTGGGGATGTGGGATATGGGGGATTTGGGATGAGGGATAAGGGATATGGGGGTTTGGGATGGGATATGGATGGGATGTGGATATGGGATGGGACACCAGGATGGGGATATGGGATGTGGGGGGTTTGGGATGTGGGACATGGGATGTGGGACACTCAGGGATGGGGGATATGGGATGTCCAGGGCCATGGGGATATGGGACACTTGGGGATGTGGGATATGGGGGATTTGGGATGAGGGATATGGGATGTGGGGGGTTTGGGATGTGGGATATGGGATATGGGACACTCAGGGATGGGGGATATGGGATGTCCAGGGACATGGGGACATGGGACACTTGGGGATGTGGGATATGGGACACCCAAGCAGGTGGAATATGGAATGTCCAGGATGTGGGATAGGGGGTGCCCAGGGATCAGGGGACACCCAGGGATGGTGGCCCTGGTGACACTGGTGGCACTGGTGACACTGGTGACAGTGGGGACACTGGGGACACTGGGGACATTACCATGGAGTGTCTCATAGGCCTGGATGACCTCAGCCGTGACCACGGGCCGCTGTCGGGTGATGGTGGCCAGGGGGATGGGGGGACAGGGGACACCCAGGGGATAGGGGGGGACACTCAGGGGTGGCTCTGGTGACAGTGGTGACACTGGTGACAGTGGGGACATCACCATGGAGGGTCTCGTAGGCCTGGATGACCTCAGCCATGAACATGGGCCGGTGATGGGCGATGGTGGTCAGGGGGACAGGGGACACCCAGGGGATGGGAGAGGACACCCAGGGGTGACTGTGGTGACACTGGTGACACTGGTGACACTGGGGACATTACCATGCAGGTCTCGTAGGCCTGGATGACCTCAGCCATGAACATGGGCCAATGGTGGGTGATGGTGGCCAGGGGGATGGGGGGACAGGGGACACCCAGGGGATGGGAGGGATAGCTCTGGTGACACTGGTGACACTGGTGACAGAGGTGACCTTACCATGGAGTGTCTCATAGGCCTGGATGACCTCAGCCATGAACATGGGCCACTGGCGGGCGATGGTGGCCAGGGGGATGAGGGGACACTGGGGATGGGAGGGGACACCCAGGGGTGACTCTGGTGACACTGGTGACACTGGTGACTCTGGTGACAGTGGTGGCATTACCATGGAGTGTCTCATAGGCCTAGATGACCTCAGCCATGAACATGGGCCAATGGTGGGTGATGGTGGGACACGGGGATGGGGGACACTGGGGATGGGAGGGGACACTCAGGGGTGGCTCTGGTGACACTGGTGACACTGGTGACACTGGTGACACTGGTGACACTGGTGACATTACCATGGAGTGTCTCATAGGCCTGGATGACCTCAGCCATGAACATGGGCCAATGGCGGGCGATGGTGGGACACTGGGGATGGGGGGACAGGGGACACCCAGGGATGGCTCTGGTGACACTGGTGACACTGGTGACACTGGTGACATTACCATGGAGTGTCTCCTAGGCCTGGATGACCTCAGCCATGAACATGGGCCAATGGCGGGCGATGGTGGCCAGGGGATGGGGGACACTGGGGTGGGTGGGCATGGCTGGGGATGGCCCTGGTGACACTGGTGACACTGGTGACACTGGTGGCATTACCATGGAGGGTCTCCTAGGCCTGGATGACCTCAGCCATGAACATGGGCCAATGGCGGGCGATGGTGGCCAGGGGATGGGGGACAGGGGGGACACTGGGGTGGGGGGGGATGGTTCTGGTGACAGTGGTGACAGTGGTGACACTGGGGACACTGGGGACACTGGGGACACTGGGGACATTACCATGGAGTGTCTCGTAGGCCTGGGTGACCTCAGCCATGAACATGGGCCAATGGTGGGCGATGGTGGCCAGGGGGATGGGGGGACAGGGGACACCCAGGGGATGGGAGGGGACACCCAGGGGTAGTTCTGGTGACACTGGTGACACTGGTGACATTACCATGCAGGGTCTCATAGGCCTGGATGACCTCAGCCATGAACATGGGCCAATGGCGGGCGATGGTGGGACACGGGGATGGGGGCACAGGGGACACTCAGGGATGGCTCTGGTGACACTGGTGACACTGGTGACACTGGTGACAGAGGTGACCTTACCATGCAGGGTCTCGTAGGCCTGGATGACCTCAGCCATGAACATGGGCCAATGGTGGGTGATGGTGGCCAGGGGATGGGGGGACAGGGGGGACCCAGGGGATGGGAGGGGACACCCAGGGATGGCTGGGGATGGCCCTGGTGACACTGGTGACACTGGGGACATTACCATGGAGTGTCTCGTAGGCCTGGATGACCTCAGCCATGAACATGGGCCAATGGTGGGTGATGGTGGGACACTGGGGATGGGAGGGGACACTCAGGGGTGGCTCTGGTGACACTGGTGACAGTGGGGACATCACCATGGAGGGTCTCGTAGGCCTGGATGACCTCAGCCATGAACATGGGCCAATGGTGGGTGATGGTGGGACATGGGGACACAGGGACAGGGGACACCCAGGGATGGCCAGGGGTGACTCTGGTGACACTGGTGGCACTGGTGACACTGGTGACAGTGGGGACATTACCATGGAGTGTCTCATAGGCCTGGATGACCTCAGCCATGAACATGGGCCAATGGCGGGCGATGGTGGCCAGAGGGATGGGGGGACACTGGGGTGGGAGGGGATGGCTGGGGATGGCTCTGGTGACACTGGTGACACTGGGGACAGAGGTGACCTTACCATGGAGTGTCTCGTAGGCCTGGATGACCTCAGCCATGAACATGGGCCGCTGGCGGGCGATGGTGGCCAGGGGGACAGGGGACACCCAGGGGATGGCGAGGGGTGACACTGGTGACACTGGTGACACTGGTGGCATTACCATGGAGTGTCTCGTAGGCCTGGATGACCTCAGCCATGAACATGGGCCAATGGTGGGTGATGGTGGCCAGGGGGACAGGGGACACCCAGGGGATGGGAGGGGACACTCAGAGGTGACTCTGGTGACAGTGGTGGCATTACCATGCAGGTCTCGTAGGCCTGGATGACCTCGGCCATGACCATGGGTCAATGGCGGGCGATGGTGGCCAGGGGGACACAGGGACAGGGGACACCCAGGGGATGGGGGGGGACACTCAGGGGTCACACTGGTGACACTGGTGACACTGGTGACACTGGGGACATTACCATGGAGTGTCTCATAGGCCTGGATGACCTCAGCCATGAACATGGGCCGCTGGCGGGCGATGGTGGCGAGCGAGCCGAGCGCGGCCGTCAGGTTGATGGAGGAGATGGCCGGGTGCACCATGAACTTGAGCAGCTGCTCCAGCGCCGCCCTGCCCTCCTCCCACAGCACACCTGGGGACACAAGGGGGTGACAGGGGGGTCAATGGGGTCACAGGGGGGTCACAGGGGGCTGTGGATGGAGGAGATGGCCGGGTGCACCATGAACTTGAGCAGCTGCTCCAGCGCTGCCCTGCCCTCCTCCCACAGCACACCTGGGGACACAGGGGACACTGGGGGGTCACAGGGGGGTCACAGGGAGGTCAATGGGGTCACAGGGGGCTGTGGATGGAGGAGATGGCCGGGTGGGTGCACCATGAACTTGAGCAGCTGCTCCAGCCCTGCCCTCCTCCCACAGCACACCTGGGGACACAGGGGACACCAGGGGGGTCAGTGGGGACACAGGGGTCAATGGGGTCACAGGGGGCTGTGGATGGAGGAGATGGCTGGGTGGGTGCACCATGAACTTGAGCAGCTGCTCCAGCGCCGCCCTGCCCTCCTCCCACAGCACACCTGGGGACACAGGGGACACCAGGGGGGTCAGTGGGGACACAGGGGGTCACAGACACTGCCCTCCTCCCACAGCACACCTGGGGACACAGGGGGTGACAGGGGGGTCACAGGGGTCACAGGGGTGTGACAGACACTGCCCTCCTCCCACAGCACAGTTGGGGACACAGGGGGGTCACAGGGGGTGACAGGGGGGTCACAGACACTGCCCTCCTCCCACAGCACACCTGGGGACACAGGGGGTCACAGGGGACACAGGGAACACAAGAGTTCAATGGGGACACAGGGGGGTCACAGAAAGGGTCAAGGGGGTCTTCTCGAGGTTGATGTCACTGCTGTCCCCCCAGGGGTGTCCCCCCCAGTGTCCCCCCTCACTGTATTTGATGACAGGGTGGTCCCTGGGGATCCTGTCCAGGCTGATGTCACTGCTGTCACCCCAGGACTGTCCCCCCCCCATTGTCCCCCCTCACTGTATTTGATGACAGGGTGGTCCCTGGGGATCCTGTCCAGGCTGATGTCACTGCTGTCACCCCGGGGGTGTCCCCCTGTCCCCATTGTCCCCCCTCACTGTATTTGATGACAGGGTGGTCCCTGGGGATCCTGTCCAGGCTGATGTCACTGCTGTCACCCCCCTGTCCCCCCCTGTCCCCCCTCACTGTATTTGATGACAGGGTGGTCCCTGGGGATCCTGTCCAGGCTGATGTCACTGCTGTCCCCCCAGGGCTGTCCCCACTGTCCCTGGGGGTCCTGTCCAGGCTGATGTCACTGCTGTCACCCCGGGGGTGTCCCCACTGTCCCTGGGGATCCTGTCCAGGCTGATGTCACTGCTGTCACCCCCATTGTCCCCAGTGTCCCCCCTCACTGTATTTGATGACAGGGTGGTCCCTGGGGATCCTGTCCAGGCTGATGTCACTGCTGTCACCCCCTGTCCCCCTGTCCCCTCTCACTGTATTTGATGACAGGGTGGTCCCTGGGGATCCTGTCCAGGCTGATGTCACTGCTGTCACCCCGGGGGTGTCCCCATTGTCCCCTCTCACTGTATTTGATGACAGGGTGGTCCCTGGGGATCCTGTCCAGGCTGATGTCACTGCTGTCACCCCCCTGTCCCCCCTCACTGTATTTGATGACAGGGTGGTCCCTGGGGATCCTGTCCAGGCTGATGTCACTGCTGTCCACCCCAGGGGTGTCCCCACTGTGCCCCCCTCACTGTATTTGATGACAGGGTGGTCCCTGGGGATCCTGTCCAGGCTGATGTCACTGCTGTCACCCCCCTGTCCCCCCTCACTGTATTTGATGACAGGGTGGTCCCTGGGGATCCTGTCCAGGCTGATGTCACTGCTGTCACCCCCAGGACTGTCCCCCCTGTCCCCCTCTCACTGTATTTGATGACAGGGTGGTCCCTGGGGATCCTGTCCAGGCTGATGTCACTGCTGTCACCCCGGGGGTGTCCCCCCTGTCCCCCCTCACTGTATTTGATGACAGGGTGGTCCCTGGGGATCCTGTCCAGGCTGATGTCGTTCTCGTGCCGTTTGGGGACGTCGGACTCGGCCACCCTGGGGGACAGGGTGATGATCAGCCCCTCCACGAACTTGATGGCGTGGGTGCGGACGCCGTCGTTGTCCGAGTCCAGCAGCAGGATGATGTCACTGGCCATGGCTGAGACCATCTCCCAGCAGGCCTCCTGCAGCTCCGAGATCACCTTCGACTTCACCATCCACTAAAGGGATGAAAAACGCCCAAATCAGGGTTAATGTGCAGTTATCAGGGTGGTTTTATCCTCCTGCAGCTCCGAGATCACCTTCGACTTCACCATCCACTGCAAACCCAAAAAACACCACCCAAATCAGGGTTAATGTGCAGTTATCAGGGTGTTTGAATCCTCCTGCAGCTCCCAGATCACCTTCGACTTCACCATCCACTAAAGGGGTGAAAACACCACCCAAATCAGGGTTAATGTGCAATTATTGGGATATTTGAATCCTCCTGCAGCTCCCAGATCACCTTCGACTTCACCATCCGCTGGAAATGCAAAAAGCACCACCCAAATCAGGGTTAATGTGCAATTAAACAGCCAAATCAGGGTTACTGTGCAGTTATCAGAGTGTTTGAATCCTCCTGCAGCTCCCAGATCACCTTCGACTTCACCATCCACTGGAAATGCAAAAAACACCACCCAAATTAGGGTTAATGTGCAGTTATTGGGATATTTGAATCCTCCTGCAGCTCCGAGATCACCTTCGACTTCACCATCCACTAAAGGGGTGAAAAACACCCAAATCAGGGTTAATGTGCAATTAAACACCCAAATTAGGGTAAATGTGCAATTATTGGGATATTTGAATCCTCCTGCAGCTCCGAGATCACCTTCGACTTCACCATCCACTGGAAACGCAAAAAACACCACCCAAATCAGGGTTAATGTGCAATTAATCACCCAAATTAGGGTAAATGTGCAATTAAACACCCAAATTAGGGTAAATGTGCAATTAAACACCCAAATTAGGGTAAATGTGCAATTATTGGGATATTTGAATCCTCCTGCAGCTCCGAGATCACCTTCGACTTCACCATCCACTGAAGGGATGAAAAACACCCAAATTAGGGTAAATGTGCAATTAAACACCCAAATCAGGGTTAATGTGCAATTAATGAACCGCCTCTCTGCCCCTCATAATTAATAATTCATTAATTATCACCCCTAATCAATCAATAATCAATTAATTACCACCCTAATGAGTTAAGTAATTAATTCCCACCTGCAGGGCCACCTTGTAGAGCTGGGTCATGGTCAGGATGGGGGGGGTGTTAATGAACCGCCTCTCTGCCCCATATTAATCAATAATTCATTAATTACTGCCCCAATCAATTAATAATTCACTAATTACTCCCTAATTAATTAATTAATGCCCACCTGGAGGGCCACCTTGTAGAGCTGGGTCATGGTCAGGATGGGGGGTGTTAATGAACCGCCTCTCTGTCCCTCATCAATTAATAATTCATTAATTATCACCCCTAATCAATCAATAATCAATTAATTACTGCTCCTAATTAATTAATTAATTAATCCCCACCTGCAGGGCCACCTTGTAGAGCTGGGTCATGGTCAGGATGGCTCTTTTGACCACGTTGACGTTCTCGTCCTTGAGCAGCATGTTCAGGTTGGCGATGAGTTTGAGCAGCAGCTCCATGTCCCGCTTGCTGGGGGGGCAAAAATGGGCTCAGACCCCTCCCCAAATCATGGACCACCCCCTAAAATTACACCCCCACCCCCTGGGGGCTCAGACCCCTCCCCAAATTAAATCCCCACCCCCCAAAACCCCCCTGTTGAGGTTGGGGATGAGTTTGAGCAGCAGCTCCATGTCCCGCTTGCTGGGGGGGAAAAACGGGCTCAGACCCCTCCCCAAATTAAACCCCCAGCCCCCAAAACCACCCCAAACCCCCAGCACAGACCCCTCCCCAAATTATGGATCACACCCCAAAACCCCCCTGTTGAGGTTGGGGATCAGCTTGAGCAGCAGCTCCATGTCCCGCTTGCTGGGGCACAAACGGGCTCAGACCCTCCCCAAATTAATGGATCACCCACCCCCACATCCTGGAGCTCAGACCCCTCCCCAAATTACACCCCCACCCCTAAACCTCCGAAACCCCTGCTGAGGTTGGGGATGAGTTTGAGCAGCAGCTCCATGTCCCGCTTGCTGGGGGGCACAAACGGGCTCAGACCCCTCCCCAAATTAGGGACCACACCCCAAAACACCCCCAAAACCCCCCAGCACAGACCCCTCCCCAAATTATGGATCACACCCCAAAACCCCCCTGTTGAGGTTGGGGATGAGTTTGAGCAGCAGCTCTGTGTCCCGATGGCTGGGGGACAAACGGGCTCAGACCCCTCCCCAAATTAAACTCCCAGCCCCCAAACACCCCCAAACCCACCAGCACAGACCCCTCCCCAAATCACACATAAACACCCCAAACCCCCTGCTGAGGTTGGGGATGAGCTTGAGCAGCAGCTCCGTGTCCCGATGGCTGGGGGCACAATGGGCTCAGGGGTCAGACCTCCCCAAATTAAACCCCCAGCCCCCAAACCCCAGCACAGACCTCCCCAAATCGCACATAAACCCCTGTTGAGGTTGGGATGAGTGGAGCAGCAGCTCCATGTCCCACTTGCTGGGGACAACGGGCCCAGACCCTCCCAAATTACACCCCCAGCCCCAAACCCTCCAAAACCTCCCAGCACAGACCCTCCCCCAATTACACCCCACCCCCCAAAACCCCCCAAACCTCCCAGCACAGACCCTCCCCAAATTACAACCCCACACCCCCAAACCCCCCAAAACCTCCCAGCACAGACCCTCCCCAAATTACACCCCACACCCCCAAACCCCCTGCTGAGGTTGGGGATGAGTTGGAGCAGCAGCTCCATGTCCCGATGGCTGGGGGCACAAACGGGCTCAGACCCTCCCCAAATTAAATCCCCCAGCCTCCCAAACCCCCAAAACCCCAGCACAGACCCTCCCCAAATTACACCCCCACACCCCAAAACCCCCTGTTGAGGCTGGGGATCAGCTTGAGCAGCAACTCCATGTCCTGCTTGCTGGGGGCACAACGGGCTCAGGGGGCTCAGACCCCTCCCAAATTAAACCCCCCACCCCCAAACCCCCCAGCACAGACCCTCCCCAAGTCACCCCTACCCCCAAAACCCCCTGTTGAGGTTGGGGATGAGCTGGAGCAGCAGCTCCATGTCCCGCTTGCTGGGGCAAAATGGCTTAGGGCTCAGACCCTCCCCAAATTAAATCCCCAGCCCCAAAACCCCCTAAAACCCCCAGCACAGACCCTCCCCAAATTATACCCCACCCCCTAAGCCCCCAAAACCCCCTGCTGAGGTTGGGGATGAGCTTGAGCAGCAGCTCCATGTCCCGCTTGCTGGGGGGCACAAACGGGCTCAGGAGTCAGACCTCCCCAAATTACACCCCCAGCCCCCCAAAACCCCCCAAAACCCCCAGCACAGACCCCTCCCCAAATTATGGACCACCCCCAAACCCCCTGCTGAGGTTGGGGATGAGCTGGAGCAGCAGCCCTGTCCCGATGGCTGAGGCAGACATGGGCCAGGCTCAGACCCCTCCCCAAATTAGGGACCCCACCCCCAAAACATCCTAAAACCCCAAAACCCCCCAGCACAGACCCTCCCCCAAATTACACCCCCACCCCCAAACCCCCTGCTGAGGTTGGGGATGAGTTGGAGCAGCAGCTCCATGTCCCGCTTGCTGGGGGGCACAAATGGGGTCAGGCGAGCCCCAGATTACACCCCCACTACCCCGAGTAAGTTAGTCACCCCCAGCCCCGTAACGGGAAAGGGCAGAGTCCCTCCCAAACTAGGAACCACACCCCAAAACTCCCCCAAACCCACCAGCACAGACCCCTCCCCCAAATTATGGATCACACCCCAAAATCCCCTGCTGCTGAGGATCTGGGCCCCGATCAGCTTGGGGACACTTGCAGCAGCTCCATGTCCCGCTTGCTGGGGGGCAAAACGGGCTCAGACCCCTCCCCAAATTAAACCCACCACCCTCAAACCCCCCAAAACCCCCAGCACAGACCCCTCCCCAAATTATGGATCACACCCCAAAACCCCCCTGCTGAGGTTGGGGATCAGTTGGAGCAGCAGCTCCATGTCCCCATGGCTGGGGGGGCACAAACGGGCTCAGGGGGCTCAGACTCCTCCCCAAATTAAACCCCAGCCCCCAAAACACCCCCAAAACCCCCAGCACAGACCCCTCCCCAAATTATGGATCCACACCCCAAAATCCCCATGTTGAGGTTGGGGATGAGTTGGAGCAGCAGCTCCATGTCCCGATGGCTGGGGGCACAAATGGGCTCAGACCCTCCCCAAATTACACCCCCAGCCCCCAAACCCCCCCAAAGCCCCCAGCACAGACCCCTCCCCAAATTATGGATCACACCCCAAAATCCCCAGTTGAGGTTGGGGATGAGTTGGAGCAGCAGCTCCGTGTCCCGATGGCTGAGGGGGCACAAACGGGCTCAGACCCCTCCCCAAATTAGGCACCACCCCCAAAACCCCCCAAAACCCCCAGCACAGACCCTCCCCAAATCACACCTCACCCCCAAAACCCCAGATCCCAGGAGGGTCCCAAAATCTGGGATGGGGGAACATTGGGAGGGGGCTGGGTGACACCGAGCCCCCCCAAATGGGTGCTGAGCACCCCCCAGGGTGACACTGAGCCTCCCCAAATGGGTGCTGAGTCCCCCAAAATGGGTGCAGACCCCCCAAAATGGTTGAGACCCCTCAAAATGGTTCAGACTCCCCCAAAATGGGTGCTGAGCCCCCAAATTGTTGCAGACCCCCCCAAATTGGGTGCTGAGCCCCCCCAAAATGGGTGCAGAGCCCCCCAAAAATGGGCACTGAGCCCCCCAAAATGGGTGCTGAGCTCCCCAAAATGGGTTCAGACGCCCCCAAAAACGGGTGCTGAGCCCCCAAAATGGTTCAGCCCCCCCCAAATTGTTGCAGACCCACCCAAAATTGGGTGTTGAGCCCCCCAAGATGCTTTCAGACCCCCCAAAATGGGTGCCTCTCCCCCCCAAATGTTTGTAGACCCCCCCATAATGGTTCAGACCCCCCCCCAAATTGGGTGCCCCTCCCCCCCAGCACCCACCAGGCCTCCTCGATGAAGCCCACCACGAATTTCCGCACCTCGATGGATTTGTCGGCCTGGAAGGCGATGATTTCCTGGGGGGAGGGGACAGGGGGGGTCAGGCACGGCGGGGAGACCCCCCAGAGACCTGGGAGCCACCCAAAATTCATCTGGATCCACCCAAAATTCATCTGGATCCATCAAAAATCCTCCTGGATCCACCCAAAATTCATCTGGATCCATCAAAAATCCTCCTGGATCCATCAAAAACCCCTCTGGATCCATCAAAAATCCTCCTGGAGCCCCCCCAGAGACTCGGGAGCCACCCAAAATTCATCTGGATCCATCAAAAATCCTCTGGATCCATCAAAAACCCCTCTGGATCCATCAAAAATCACCTGGATCCACCCAAAATCCCCTGGAGCCCCCCCAGAGACTCGGGAGCCACCCAAAATTCATTGGGATCCACCCAGAATTCATCTGGATCCATCAAAAAGCCCTCTGGATCCATCAAAAATCCACCTGGATCCATCAAAAATCCCCCTGGATCCATCAAAAATCCCCTGGATCCATCAAAAATCCCCCTGGAGCACTCCCAGAGCCTCGGGAGCCACCCAAAATCCCTCTGGATCCACCCAAAAACCACCTGGATCCACCCAAAATCCCTCTGGATGCATCAAAAACCCCTCTGGATCCATCAAAGATTCTCCTGGAGCCCTCCCAGAGCCCCGGAAGCCACCCAAAATCCTGATCCATCAAAAATCCCTCTGGATCCATCAAAAATCCCTCTGGATCCATCAAAAATCCACCTGGAGCCCTCCCAGAGCCCCAGGATCCACCCAAAATCCATGGGATCCATCAAAAACCCCTCTGGATCCATCAAAAATCCTCCTGGATCCATCAAAGACCCCTCTGGATCCACCCCAAATCCCTCTGCATCCATCAAAAACCCCCTGGATCCACCCAAAAAAACACCTGGATCCATCAAAAACCCTCTGGATCCACCAAAAATCCCTCTGGATCCATCAAAAACCCCCTGGATCCATCAAAAACACCCTGGATCCATCAAAAATCATCCTGGATCCATCAAAAATCATCCTGGAGCCCTCCCAGAAGCTCGGGAGCCACCCAAAATTCATCTGGATCCGTCAGAAATCCACCTGGAGCTCTCCCAGAGTCTCGGGATCCACCCAAAACCCATTGAGATCCACCCAAAACCCCCCTGGATCCACCCCAAACCCCTCTGGATGCATCAAAAATCCTCCTGGAGCCCTCCCAGAGCCCCGGGATCCACCCAAAATTCATCTGGATCCATCAAAAATCCTCCTGGAGCCCTCCCAGAGCCTCAGGATCCACCTGGATCCATCGAAAACCCCTCTGGATCCACCAAAAATCCTTCTGGAACCCTCCCAGAGCCCCGGGAGCCACCCAAAATCCTTCTGGATCCATCAAAAACCCCTCTAGATCCACCCAAAATCCCTCTGGATCCATCAAAAGTCCTCCTGGAGCCCTCCCAGAGCCCCGGGAGCCACCCAAAATCCCTCTGGATCCATCAAAAACCCCCTGGATCCACCCAAAAAACACCTGGATCCATCAAAAATCCACCTGGATCCATCAAAAATCCACCTGGATCCATCAAAAACCCCTCTGGATCCACCAAAAATCCCTCTGGATCCATCAAAAATCCTCCTGGAGCCCTCCCAGAGCCCCGGGATCCACCCAAAATCTCTCTGGATCCATCAAAAACCCCTCTGGATCCACCCAAAATCCCCCTGGATCCATCAAAAATCCTCCTGGAGCCCTCCCAGAACCTCGGGAACCACCCAAAATCCCTCTGGATCCACCCAAAAAACCACCTGGATCCATCAAAAATCCTCCTGGAACCCTCCCAGAGCCTCGGAATCCACCTGGATCCATCAAAAACTCCTCTGGATCCAGCCCAAATCCCTCTGGATCCATCAAAACCCCCTCTGGATCCACCCAAAAACCACCTGGATCCATCAGAAATCTCTCTGGATCCATCAAAAATCCCCTGGAGCCCTCCCAGAGCCTCAGGATCTACCCAAAAAAACCCTGGATCCATCAAAAATATCTCGGGATCCATCCCAGCCCCTCTGGATCCATCTCAATCCCCCTGGATCCATCCCAGCCCCTCTGGATCCACCCCAATCCCTCAGGATCCATCCCATAAACTCTGGATCCATCCCAATCCCTCTGGATCCATCCCAATCCATCTGAATCCCCCCCAACTCCTCTGGATCCATCCCAATTCCTGGGGATCCATCCCAACCCTCTGGATCCATCCCAATCCCTCCCAATCCCCCTGGATCCATCCCATAAACTCAGGATCCATCCCAATCCTTAGGGATCCATTCCAGTCCCTCTGGATCCATCCCACTCCCTCTGGATCCATCCCAACCCCTCTGGATCCATCCCAATCCCTGGGGATCCATCCCAACCCCTCTGGATCCCTCCCATAAACTTGGGATCCATCCCAACCCCTCTGGATCCATCCCAATCCCATGGGACCCATCTCAATCCCATGGGATCCATCCCAACCCCTCTGGATCCCTCCCATAAACTTGGGATCCATCCCAACCCCTCTGGATCCATCCCAACCCCTCAGGATCCATCCCAACCCCTCAGGATCCATTCCAATCCCTGGGGATCCATCCCAACCCATCCCAGTCCCTCTGGATCCATCCCAATCCCTGGGGATCCATCCCAACCCATCCCAGTCCCTCGGGATCCATCCCAATCCCTGGGGATCCATCCCAATCCCTCTGGATCCATCCCAATCCCTCCCAATGCCTCTGGATCCATCCCATAAACTCTGGATCCACCCCATAAACTCTGGATCCACCCCAACCCCTCTGGATCCATCCCAACCCATCCCAATCCGTTGGGATCCATCCCAATCCCATGGGATCCATCCCTGGGATCCCCCCATCCCCGCTCACATCCAGGAAGTTGTCCAGCAGGGTGGGGTCCTTGTTGATGATCAGCTCCTGCACCTGGAAGGGGGGTCACGCTGGGGACACCCCAAAAAGCGCCCCCAGTCCCACCTGGGCCCCAAATCCCCCAAAATCCCAATTTTCCCCCCAAATCCCCCTTTCCTCCCCCAAAATCCCAATTTCCCCCCTAAAATCCCAATTTTCCCCTCAATCCCCTCCAAATCTCACATTTCCTCCCCCAAATTCCCTTTTTCTCCCTCAAACCCCACATTTCTCCTCAAATCCTACATTTCCCACCAAATCCACATTTTTCCTACCGAAATGCCCCAATCCCCACCAATTCTAATTTTCTTTTCTCAATCCCTCTCCAAATCCCACATTTCCCCAAGTCCCAATTTTCCCCCAAGCCCCTTCCAACCCCTATTTCCCCCAACCCCAATTTCCCCTCAACGCCCTCTCAAATCCATTTTCCCCCAAATCCCCATTTCCCCCAAATCCTGATTTCCCCCAACCCTCCTCAAATCCCAATTTTACCCCCAAATCCAAATTTTACCCCCTCAAATCCCGTATTTCCCTCCCAAATCCCAATTTCAACCCCAAATCCCCACATTTCCCTACCAAATCCCCTATTTCCCCCAAATCTCAATTTTCCCCTCAAATCCCCTTTCTCCCACCAAACCCCACATTCCCCCAAATCCCCCTTTTCCCTCAAATCCCACATTTCCCTCTCAAATCCCTCTTTTATCCCCCAAACCCCTCCATCCCCCTCAATCCCAATTTCCCCCAACACCCCTCAAATCCCATTTCCCCTGAAATCCCAATTTTCTCCCCTCAATCCAACCCCAGGCCCCCATTTTCCCCCAAAAGCCCCATTTTCTCCCCAAATCCCAATTTCCCCCAATCCCTCCTCAAATCCCAATTTTACCCCCTCAAATCTACATTTACCCTCCCAAATCCCAATTTCCCCCAAATCCCCATTTCTCTCCCAAATCCCCATTTACCCCACAAATCACCTATTACATCCCATTTCCCCCAAATCCCCATATTTCCCCCAATCCCCATTTACATCCCCAAACCCACATTTCCCCCAAACCTAATTTCCCCTCCAATGCCCTCTCAAATCCCAACTTCCCCCTCAAATCTCAATTTTCTCCCCAATCCCCATTTACCCCCTAAACTCCCCATTTTACCCCCAAAATCCCAATTTTCCCTCTCAAATCCCCAATTTCCCCCTCAAATCCCAATTTCCCCCAAATCCCCATTTACCCCCAAAATCCCAATTTCTCCCCCAAATCCCAATTTCCCCACCCCACCTGTCTCAGGATGTTGATTTTGCCCTCGGTGCCGATCAGAGCTGCCTGGTTCAGCAAATCCACAACCTGGGAGAGATTTGGAGTCACCCCAGCCCAGAGACCCCAAGCTGACCCCCCTCATCCCCAGGGACCCTAAACTCCCCCAGGACCCCCAACCCGCCTGGTTCAGCAGATCCACCACCTGGGAGGGATTTGGGGTCACCCAGCCAAGACCCCAGGGACCCCAAACTGACCCCAGGACCCAACTGACCTAGACCCCCTCATCCCCAGGGACCCCAAACTGACCCCAGGGACCCCAAACTGACCCCAGGACCCCCTCATCCCCAGGGACCCCAAACTCCTCCCCATGGACCCCCAACCCGCCTGGTTCAGCAGATCCACCACCTGGGGAGGGGGATTTGGGGTCACCCCCAGCCCAGAGACCCCCCCAGGGACCCCCAAACTGACCCCAGGGACCCCCAAACTGATTCCAGGGACCCCCAAACTGATCCCAGGGACCCCCAAACTCCTCCCCAGGGACCCCCAAACTCCTCCCCAGGGACCCCCAAACTGACCCCAGGGACCCCAAACTGAACCCCCTCATCCCTAGGGACTCCCAAACTGACCCCAGGGACCCCCAAACTGACCCCCCTCATCCCCAGGGACCCCCAAACTGCTCCCAGGGACCCCCAAACTGCTCCCAGGGACCCCCCAACCCCCCTGGTTCAGCAGATCCACCACCTGGGGAGGGGATTTGGGGTCACCCAGCCAGAGACCTCCAGGGACCCCAAACTGACCCCAGGGACCCCAAACTCCTCCCCAGGGACCCCACCAAACTGGCCCAGGGACCCCAAACTCCTCCCCAGGGACCCCCAATCCCCCTGGTTCAGCAGATCCAACACCTGGGAGGGGAAATTGGGGTCACCCCCAGCCCAGGGACCCCCAAACTGACCCCAGGGACCCCCAAACTGAGCACAGGGACCCCCAAACTGCTCCCAGGGACCCCAAATGACCCCCAGGGACCCCCAAATGACCCCAGGACCCCCAATGCCCTCACCCTCTCCGAGGTGCTCCTCCCATCGCTCCCACTCTCCTCCTGGCTGAAGAACTGGGAGGCCAAACTGGTCCTCAGGGCTCGGCCCTCCGACCCCGACATGGCCTGGGGGGGTCACAACGTGTCATAGACCCCCCCCAAAACCTACAGAGCCCCCTCCCCACTCCCCAGAGCACCCCCAGACACCCCAGACCCCCAGGCCCCTCCGACCCGACATGGCCTGGGGGCAAGAGTCCAGCTAAGTCTACAGACCCCCAAAAACCTACAGAGCCCCCTCCCCACTGCCCAGAGCACCCCAGACCCCCAAAACCCCCAGACCCCCCCGACCCCCAGACCCCCAAACTCCCCAGACCCCACGAACCCCCCGACCCCCATAAGCCCCCAAGGCCCCAGAGCCCCCCATAATCCCCCAAATCCCCCAGACCCCAGGAACCCCCCAGACCCCAAAACCACCCCCAGACCCCCAAAACACCCCCAGACCCCCATGAGGCCCCCAGACCCCCATGAACCCCAGACCCCACAAAACACCCCCAGACCCCCATGAGCCCCCAGACCCCACGAACCCCCCAGACCCCAAAGCACCCCCAGACCCCATGAGGCCCCCAGACCCCCACGAATCCCCCGACCCCCACAGACCCCCAGACCCCCATGAGCCCCCAGACCCCCACGAACCCCCAGACCCCATGCAGGCCCCCGACCCCCACAGCCCCCAGACCCCATGAGCCCCCAGACCCTCACAGATCCCCCAGACCCCACGAGACCCCCAGGCCCCCAAACCCCCAGACCCCATGAACCCCCAGACCCCAGGAACCCCCAGACCCCAGGAACCCCCCCAATAAGCCCCCAAGCCCCTCCAGACCCCAAGCCCCCTCCTCACTCTCCCCAATCCCTCAGACCCCCAAGCCCCCCAAAGCAACCCTGGCTCCCAGCCCCCCCAAACCCCTCTAAACCCCAGGCCCCCTCTCCACTCCCCAATTTCCTCCAGACCCTCCCCAGGCCCTACAAACCCCCGAACCCTCCCAGTCCTCTAGACCCCCAGGCCCCCTCCCACTCCCCCATCCCTCCAGACCCCATAAACCCCCACCGTCCCCCTGCAGACCCCTCAAGCCCCCTCCTCATTCCCCCCTCCTTCCAGTTCTCCTCGGTCCCTACAAGCCCCCTCAGACCCCCACGAACCCCCAGACCCCACGAACCCCCCAGACCCCCAAACCCCACAGGCCCCCAGACCCTCACAAACCCCCAGAACCCCCAGAGCCCCCAGACCCCAGGAACCCCCAGACCCCCCAAACCCCTCAGACCCCACGAGCCCCCAGACCCCACGAACCCCCAAAACCCTCAGACCCCCACGAGGCCCCCAGACCCCCACAGATCCCCCAGACCCTCACAAACCCCCAGAACCCCACAGAATCCCCCAGACCCTCACAAACCCCCCAGAACCTCCACGAATCCCCCAGACCCCCAGAAAACCCCCAGACCCCTCAAACCCCCAGACCCCATGAAACCCCCAAAAAACCCCCAAACCCCTCCTAGACCCCAAGCCCCCTCCTCCCTCTCCTCAATCCCTCCAGACCCCCAAAGCCCCCAAAGCAACCTGGCCCCCACAACCCC